TTTACAGCCCTCTCTAAGTGGTTTAAAGAGTCAGCTTATTACCCCCAACAATCTGGGTCCTCATTTTACCCACCTCAGAAGGATGGACTGCCGAATCAACCATGAGCCAGTGAGATTTGAACTGCTGAACTGCAGCTAGCAGTCAGCTGAAGTAGTCTGCAGTACTGCACTCTAACCAATGGACCATTTTGGCTCCGAATAGCAAAGATATCCCATTTATTCTGCATGGGAGAAGGCAATAGTATGCCACTCCAGGATTTTTACCAAGAAACCCACATAGATAGAAAATACAAAACGATACTGCATTACCTTCTATAAATAGACACAACATTTCCAGAGTTATGGAAGACAGCTTTATTTTGTTTTCTAAACTGTTGCAAGAACACATGGAAATTTACACACTTTATGTATCCCAGGACTTTGCAAACTCTTTAAAGGAAGAGCTTTTTAGAGACTCATTGGGAGCATCAGCACTATTCTGGACTTTACATAGTACACAAAAAATAAAAGATAAGCCTATGGAACTCACAAACAGGGATGGGGGAGAGAAACCATAGATCCACAGACTGGAATTAAACTTCGTTAAGTTGCACATACAGCAGAAAGACATTGTACAGATCATACATTGATGGGTCAAGCTTCTCTGCAGACTTGTGAAAAGCAGAATGGAAAGAGGAGTTTGAAAAAGTGACTCAGGATGCACATCCATATTCTGTGTAAAAACAACACCATAATTTACATGTATTTTAAAAGAAGAATAAAAAAGAAGAGAGCAAGTCATACAACCAACTTACGTTCTAGAAACAAAGACAAATCCATATTTTCAAAATACATATATCTAAAATAAATGATATTTCAAAATAAATATCAACGTGCTGAGGCAAAGAAGGAAGTTACAAAAGTAAAACAGTCAACACACACCTTAAGCAGTGTATTCTATACAAACCATCCTTCCTCTCTGAGGAAAACAATCCTAGCACAACTGCAAAGTACAGAACATTTTATTTTTTAAAAAAATGCGTGTCAAAAGGTTTTTTTTTTTAAGATTCATGGAAGTAATTTTTATCATTTGTTATATTTCGCCTCAAACAATGTTGTCAAATGGATTTCAGGTTAATTGTAAAATGGGGGTAGTATTCTATTTCATTGAGGGAATTTAATTTCTAGAATTTGTTCTAATTTGCTGTTACACTAATATCTTTCCTTACCCCAAGCTACAGTCATTTCGCCAAACATCTTATTTACTGTACAAGGAACATACAACAGAAACCCACATAGATAGAACATTAGCAGTTCTACAGCACTCTGTGTCTCATTCCAAGAAATCCTTATATTCAACTGAGCCTCTGTTGGGAAAAAGACAGGGGTGGGTTTCGACCGGTTCGCACCGGTCCCTGCGATCCAGTTGGTCGCCGAACCCGGAAGTAAGTAACTTCCGGGAACGGCAAAGCCCCCCCCCCCCGCGCCCGCGCGCACCCGCGCCCGCTCCTTACCCGGTTTTTACGAATTCTGCGCTTCCACGCATGCGCAGAACGCATACAGCGCCTGCGCGATCCTCCAGGAGCAGCTGGAGCATCGCGCAGACCCTAGTACGCATGCGCGTGCCGCTTGCGTGCCGGCCTCGTTCCAACCGAACCGGTTGGAACGGGGCGAGAAACCCACCCCTGGAAAAAGATAATATTCCTGGACATGATCCCTCTGGCTCTATCTTAAAGTTGGATTCTTTATCATCATTGCTATAATTGTCACTATCTGAATTTTAGCAGTCTGGCATTGGATATAAACCACATGCCAAGAACCATAGATTTTTGTTAACTGTAATATCAAAAAATTGAGAATGTGCAGATACTGGCTCCAAGTTTCTCATTTCTTAATTTTGAAAGGAAAGGAAACAACAAACAATATGCCCACATTAAAGTCCTTTCCCAAGGACCTTAATTTAGTGAAAGACTTCACTTTCTGTAAAATAAGCTAATTTGAAAATCATGACCATTGTAAGAGAGAAATGCAAGAAAGAAGAAATGTAGAAACCGGTAAAAGATTAGAAATCTATTGCTTTACAGGAAAAAAGGCAGGGGAAAAAATCACAGCAGTTAGGCACAATCACAGTTTCAAGGTTTTCATTTCCACCCATTAAGGTACGTCAAGGCTTTGCTTGTGTTCCCAAATCTGCCTACAAGTAGCAGGTAGTTCCAGGATGATCAAGTTTCTCACAGTGGTCTAAAGGATCCTGAGCATCTCTCTGAGGGCACTGTATCTGCCTCCTCTCCTTTCTGCTTCAAGGGTATAATGTAGTTATCCATGTACTGCAAATTTCCTCGAAATTGTCTCTCTCTCTCTTTCTCTCTTTTTGCACTGATAATTTTTCTACTTTATTTAAAATGAGCATAGTGCCCGGATGAACAGAAGTGGTCATCACAACTAGACTGCTGGATAAGATGTCCACAATACAAGCTCTATTTAAGTGTTACAATGTATTGGTCATGCATACATCCCTACAGAATCCTGGCAAGCAGGCATTTCAACATGAATAGTTGATATGAGGTCAGGTTGCTAATCAACTAATTGTTGGAAGGACAGTTGTACATTTTCAAATTGGCGACAATTTCAGCATCAAACATGGTGAACTTCAACAACCAGAGAGAGTCAGTGGTCATCTACTTTAGCTCTTTTGGCTTTCAGAGAAAGATGCTGTAATGAAGAAGAAAAAAGATAGTATCTTTTAAAATTTATACGCTCATAAATGCTCTAATGAACCAACTCTTCATCAAAGAGCTAATCAAAACTAGCAGCCTTCTGGCATCAAATTGAATGTTGCTTTTACAGCTCTCCTGAAACTCCATTTCGCCATCCGGCCAAAAGCATTAAAACGTACAACCATTTGCCAATATAGAAATATAAGTAGTCCTCAACTTATGACCACAATTGAGCCCAAAATTTCTGTTGCTAAGTGAGATGGTTGTTAAGTAACCTTTTGTCCCATTTTATGACCTTTCTTGCCCCAGTTGTTAAGTGAATCACGGCAATTGTTAAAATGGTAACGATCGCTAAGTGCATCTGATTTCTTCATTGACTTTGCTTGTCAGAAAGTGACCACATGACTCTGGAACTCCTACAATTATCATGAAGATGAGTTGGCTGCCAAGCATCTGGATTTTGGCCATGGACATGTTGAAACGATCGTAAGTCTGAAAAATGGTCATAAGTCTTTTTTTTCAGTGCCATTGTAACTTTGAACCGTCATTAAATGAATTTTTGTAAGTCGGGGACTACCTGTAATTGCTATTTTGAAGTTGTAAAAATGTGGGTGCCTGGTAATACAAAAATAAATAAAATGAGGAAAACACATATTGCAAAGTTGCAGGCTTTTGGAATTCCTTCAGCAATAGAATTTATATTATAATGAAGCATTCCACTGTTAATCAGATGGAGTAATATAGTAATTCCAAGTAGAGTTGCCTAACATACTCATTGCTCTCTTGATGTGACAGATGGTGGTGAAGAATAATTCACAGGGCTAACTGCAATTGGTTTTTCCCCCCCTCCTTTCTACTTGTCTCCTAAAGAAAATATATGCCTTGCTCATTGATACTACGCTGACATTATCTCTCCTTTACATTTAAAAATCTAAGGGATCAACCTATTCATAGAACACCATTTTGTTAACAATGGTCCTTCTCTCTTCCAAAGATTTGCTAGTTCCTACTGCTCCTGAAATAAGACTTAATTCTAATTAATGGGATTTCAAGAATAATGTGGGTTTTCATTTTGTGTTGACTTTTTAGAAAAACAGCCACTTTTTATCTAACAACTATCTCATTTAGCAACCAATTTAAACCTTGATGTATATTATAACCTAATAAACACTTTAAAAGTGAAATACAAAACACAAGAAAATATAGTGCTGCTAATACAGCAGTGATACCGTTTGGAGTCCATGCCGAGCCCGTACCGTTCCTTGCTGATAGAAATGAGGAGCCAGTTCCAATAACCAAGCAGATTTAATAGCTGTAACATCTCGCATGTAATACTTTGAAGTCTGGATAACTTCATTGTACACTACCCTAAAGATAAACGGTAAAATAAAAATAAAAATAAACTATATAGTGTATGAGACTTGACATCTGAGCTAAGTAGTAAGTTAATTATCTTCAAATATTTTATCCTTAGTACAACTTCTTGGCATGACATGGCATGGCGTAAGATTTACAGACATACTTTGCCAGATTAGAAGCTTAATATGAACACATGAACAACAAACAGGTGAGTTTTCATTTCAGTGTAAAGGTTTTATGGAGTTTTATATATTTTCAAGGGTTTAAATTCAAGATTTTTTCCTCTCATTCATTCATGTCTCGAAGTCTTGTGGTTGTGTTACTGTAATAAGTTTCCCCAGATTTAGGAAAGAGAATAGCAGTTTGGAAAACTTATAAACAAAGAACATAAACACATTCTTCCTCGCTCAGAGAAAATACAGGCAGCCTTTGACTTACGACCACAATTAATTAATTCAAAATAAAACTTAGCTTACCAACGAGGAGGTTTCTCTGCATACAACACTGAGGTGGGATGTATGTAGAGTTCATGATCATCACGAATAGTCCTTGAAATAACAGTATTTTAGAAATACAATATTTACCAAAGCAACATGTCAATGTTTAGTTATAGTACAAGCTACTATCAATGTCCTCAAATACTGACATGATCGGCATGTTACTAAATCAGCAACATTTCAGCTCTCCTAGCCTTCTATTCAATATTTTGAAATCTCCTGTTCCTTTTTCAAATGAAGCAGATTTTTTTCAAGAACAACCTCTCTCCTCGACCTAATTGGATTTAGTTCAAGTGAGTTCAGTATCAGGATGACCAGTTTGCCCAAACGAAGCAAGCATATTACAGACCAATTGTTCCAACTGATGGCTATCAAAAAGAATTTTTTTGAACTCAAATAGTCATAATTTTATATCTCATGTACGTATTACAATATTGTATTAAGTATAATCTTGAACAAACTTCTTCAGTTCAATCATGATTAGCCTATGTTAGCTAAATGAAAACAGTAATATTTCTATTGTTTTTAGAAGAATTTGCTAGAATGAATACTTTGTGCTTATATTTTTAATTTAATTATAATTACTGCACTCTGTGTTTTATATTAACTGTTTGTGGCCAACCAGATGCTAGGTAAAAATAAATTTACCTGTAACACCCAGTAGAATGAAATCTGGCTGCATTAGCAAAAAATCCAGAAACAATAGATCTTAGAACAGGGTCTGGATCACCTATAAGAAAGAGATGGATTTGTCATTTTACAGTGAGCATGTATCTTGGTATCCTCCCGATATTATGACTTTCAAATCATAGCAACCAAGCACCAGAGCTGCCCCACAAAATATATGGAGAGGCAAGGTTATCTTTTTATCTTTTTCAACAGACCTGAAAAGGTCAGGTTAAAATGAAAAATAATAGCCAATAATTTCAAATTAGTGGTGGGGAAAAAAGAAAAGGAAAGTTCTTCTCAAAAATACATCTTCCTGACACAAAAATGTGTTATAAGAGACAATGCCTATAAATAAATGACTATTATTACCATGTTTCTCCAAAAAAAAGTCGGGGTCTTATTTTCTTTTGATCCTGAAAAAACAGCTTGACCTTCTTTTTGGAGGGTTCTAATTATTGACTCACCTCTCGGCAGTGGCACCGACAGCCCCGCCCAGTAGGAGCCCACTGCTAACCCACTTTTTCTGCAGCCGCTTGCCGCCACTTGCATGCATCGCCCCGGCCTCTGTTTCACCTTCAGATGCCTGCTGGAAGGCATCTGCAGCCGATAACAGAGTTCTGGATTAGGAGCTCTGTTATCAGCTGCAGATGCCTTCCGGCAGGCATCTAAAGACAAAATGGAGGCCGTGGCGATGCGTATGAGTGGTGGCAAGCAACCGCAGAAGAAGGTGAGGCAGGTGTCGGGGTGTGTGAGGCCTAATAAATAGGGCAGCTCCACCGCTCCATAGCTTATTTTTTTACCTGTGTGCCTCGCCCTTCCCCTTGCAGGTGGGTGAGTCTTAATTAGGGCTAATTTTGTGGGTGGGGCTTAATTTGATCGCATGCACTCAAAAACATGATAGGGCTTCTTTTCAAGGTGGGTAATCTTTTTGGAGAAACAGTAAATACTAAACAAAACAGAAAAAATCATTCAGCAGATTAAACATGAAAAATACATAGGAAACACAGTTAATTAAGGCAGTTCATACCTTCACTAGATTTTTTTGGCACTTTGAACTTGACAAGAAGTTTTTTCAGCTGCTCCCTTACAATTGTGGCTCTAACAAGACCTTTATAATTCAGAAAGTGTTCCTGACACCACTGAGAGCTTTTGTTGTGCTACAAATAAATAGAAAAAATGAATCACACCTACAAAATTTCTATCAGTGTTAGCACTTTATATGCAGTTTTCTGGTTTCCTTAATGTTGTGAGAATGAAAATACACAGAAACGTTTTCACTCTATACTACAAGACAAAACTAATCTCAAAAGCTTGTGAACGTTTTCAAAATCAAAGCAGTGCAATTTGCAAAATACGCTCTACTGTGTTGCCAGTTCAAATAATAAAATATCCTTGATATCCTTTTTTTAAACTTCACAAACTGAAACTTACTGTTAACAGTTTAATTTATCTGCATCCTAAATCTTAATTTCTACTGAGAAAGCTATTGCACATGACAGAATTCTGCAATAAAGACATTAACACTAACATGCACACATAATTGAAAGATAAGTAAATATGCTCCAAGTTACACAACACAAGTAATTATAAAGATTAAGAATCTCAGCTTTAATTTTAAATATTACATGTACTTATCTCTTGCTGTAAGAAAGATAATTGTTAAAGAAGTATGTCTACAAAATACACCACATGCTGTTAAATTTCTAAAATCACAATACTTTAGGACTTTCAGTTATCTTTGCTGAGCTTCTTGCCTTCATTACAACTAAAATTATTACCTTTAGAAAACCCATCAAGTTAATTATTGCAAATGACATTTTGATACATATTGACATCAGTTGGAATCATGGCTAGAAAAACTCAAAGATCATTTTGTACTTTGGTTTAGCTGCTTACTTTTATAAAAGCTTCATAGACATTAAGCATCGTGAGGTGGTCACCCTCCTCAACAGCAAATTTTCTGTGTTCTCTTATCTGAAAAGAGAAATCTTTTATATAGAAACAGAAGCCAGAATAATTTTCTGCTATTTTTCAAGAAAAGTATAATCTACGGTAAATAGGTTAAATCTACACTTGAACAAAGTTTCAACTAACCCATGAACATTAACAATCTTGTCAGCATTACACTTCAAATGGTATTTCAGAAGTACTCAGAAGTAAAAGCATATCAAAAACTACATCATTAATACACAAGCCACCATAATGTTTTTAATTAAAAAGCTAATAAGGAGACACAAATTATAAAATGAAAACAAGGTACCCAAGTGAACAAGTCAATGTAAGCAGTCTAGAAGAGTTTCAAAGTTATGTCGGTGGATATAAACCAGCACTTACAGCTAGTACTTTTTGGTTTGGAGGAATTGTGAAGATATTTTGGATTTGCATCATGGATGCAATGCTCAGAATCTCTTGGGAGCAGCCAAAATTTCCTGGAAAATGATTTAAGGAAAAGAAAATTCATTGTCATTGAGTAATGCTTCCTTTGTTACATATTTCCAATTAAAACAGCTATCGCAGAATTATATCTCCCATTCTGCTTTTTCCATACTCCTGCTCCACTTTCATAACACAGCCTATCATGCATCTACATCTAACATACAGCAAAATATTTATAATGATAAGTGCACATTGAACATTTTAATTACAAAGTAAGAGGAATTAATACTCCAAATTATAACAGAACATTTCACCTGATTCTAGGAGCATCTTTGCAAACATAGGATTTAAAGGGAACTCTGCTATTCTAATTCCCAGAGGTTCAGTGAGACGACAATATTTATCCAGTCCTGCAGGAGAAGAAAAAACAATGATACAGAATGTAAATACTGGTAATTTGGGATGCCTTAAATGTAAAATGTTAACAGTATAGAAAGAGGTTATTGACTGAATTATTTTCCAGAGGTAAAACCATATTCCTTGGATCTTTGCATTATAAGAGTTGCTATATCTTCAACCTAGCATTCATATAACAAAAATGTACTGTATTGTTCGGAGTATAATAAGCACCAGAATATAAGATGCACACAGGTTTTGAAGAAGCATTTTTTTTAAAAAAAGTAGGTAGGTAAATAGAGGGACAGAGAGGGAGAGAAAGAGAGAGAAATACAGTAGGTAGGTAGGGAGAAAGTGTGTGTGTGTAGATAGGTAGGTAGATAGAGGGATAGAGAGAGAGAAATAGAGAGAGAAAGAAATACAGTAGATAGGTAGGGAGAGAGAATAGATAGGTAGGTAGGTAGATAAAGGGATATACATAGAGAGAGAAATAGAGAGAAAGAAATACAGTAGGAAGGTTGGGAGAGAGAGTGTATGTAGATAGGTAGGTAGAGGGATAGAGAGAGAAATAGAGAGAGATAGAGAGAAATACAGTAGATAGGTAGGGAGAGAGAGAGAGAGAGAGAGTAGGTAGGTTGGTAGGTAGAGGGATAGAGAGAGAGAAATACAGTAGATAGGTATGGGGAGAAAGAGAGAGTAGGTAGGTAGGTATATAGGTAACTAGAGGGAGAGAGAGAAATACAGTATGTATGTATGGAAGGTAGGTAGGTAGGTAGGTAGGTAGATGTTTCCAGGTTTATTTATCCATGTGCTGGAGAAGGAAATCGCTGACAACCTGTAGCACCTGAAACTTTGTTTCTGCTGGCACAGCAGTTGACCAATGTAATTCTCATCAATCCATCTAACTAAACAGCTTTCTGAAAGGAAAAAAAAAGTTTTTGCATTCTGCAAATCTCCCCAAAACTTCCCGTTTTTCACAAAAACGGGTCCTTTAAAAAAAAAAGAGAGAGGCATGAATAGCCTTGGGAGGGGGGCTTGCAGAGGGTTCCGGGGGGGGGGGCAAAAACAAGCAAAAAACCCAAGCCGTTTTTGCAAAAACAGGCCAGTTTTTTGTCAATTTTTTTTGCATGCATAGCCTTATGGAGGCTTATAGAGTGCTGCTGGGGGGGGGGGGCAAAAACAACAATTTGTTTGCTCATTTCTGCCCTCCCCAGCTCCCAGGAGCTCTCTGAAAGCTTCCATAAGGCTATGCACAGCCATTTTGGTGAAGGGGTATAAGATGCACCCAGATTTTCAGCATCTTTTTTGAAGAAAAAAGGTGCGTCTTATATTCTGAAAAATATGGTAATCAATGATGAATGTTGAAATCTACATATCTTTTTTCCCGAAAAGACTACAGCATCTCCTATTATTTTTACAGTGCAATCTTAAAAGCATTTCTTAACAACAGCCTAGTTGTATAAAATGTATTGCATTTTTATAATTATAATTTTGATGTTGCCTTTGACTTTTCAGAGCTGATCTAAAGATGGAAGCACATATACGGGATATATAAATATTACCATCAAAAGTTCAAAATCCATATGAAAAATGCAATTACAACCAGAGGATTCTTCTAAAGTACATTAAATTATCAGCAAACGAATTTTACAGCTTACTAAGGATTTCATCAATCTTTCTAAATACTATATAAACTATTCACTGGAAAGATGTTGTATGCATAACTAAGCCTTCATGAAAGTACCTATCTTCAAAGCCAAGGAATGAGAGCCCATTCACAGCAGAGTTCAGATGGCATCACAAAAAAACAGAAAACTGAGAATACAAAAGGCTCAATAATTTTTCAGTATGAAACCCAAAAACATAAATGGGCCATTGATAATCAAGCAAAAAGCAGCCCCTTGAGCCAACTGAGCCAAATTAATGGGTGTTAGAATTGCTAAAGAAAAACATGCTGAATTTCTGCAAGAGAAGTTCCATTTTTTTCTTTTACAGTATCTATTTTATTACTGAACTAGTTTATGTGTCTCAATCTCAGCAACTTTAACATGGGTGGACTTCAACTCCCAGAATTTTGCCAATCTGCATACTGGGGAATTCTGGGAGTTAGTCCACTTACCTTAAAGTTGCTGAGGTTGAAAAATACTGAAATAAAGTAATTTAAATTCTCAGAATTAGTTATTGAGACATATTTTACTTCAATTCAATTCCAGGCAAAGGTTCTGTTTTTAGCCATCTTTTATTTTAGTGACCTGAACCTACTGATTAACAATCAATACATAAATATCTAAAAATGAGATTAATTGACCAACAACGTATTACTCTTATAAATGATAGGTAACACTCAATTGCAAAGAATATACAGAAGAAGCTCTGCAACACCAATTACATTAACTAAAAACCATATTCATTCTCAACATTTGGACTGGGGGGAGGGGAAGAACTGCTTTATAGATCTTACAAAAATTTTGGCGTGCATTTGACACAAGCAACTCTTCAGAGAGTTTCATATCAAAGGCAAAAATATTTTTGTTCTTATAACCCTGGTACATTAAAAGCAAGACAGTTCTATTTTGGTTAATTGATAAATAGTACCTTTCACTCCCTTTAGAGTTAAAAATAAACAAAGACACCATCTTACCTCCTAAGGCATACAACAGCTCCAGAGCTTGCACCATTGACTGAGCTGGTGGAGGCTAGAGAAAAAGTAGTAATATAATTTTCTCTGTTCGTTATAGGAGGATATTTTTAATTTAGAAACCCACCTTTCTATGAATTCAAGGAGGAATCGCTAGCCTTCTACTGTAATCTACTTGGCTTCAAAAAGTTTGGCACAGATTAAAGAGCCCATTTTGCGACTCAAAAGACAATGTTTGGGGTAAGAGCCATGACTTGAATCTGTCCTATGAGTTTTTTTAAAGAGGCAGGACAGCCACTGGGAAGACCTTCTTTCAACTCCCCATTATATAGCAACATTTAAGGGGGGGAGCATACTATGTAATCTAGTAAGACATGCAAATATCTTCAGGAAGAGTTAGTCCTCAAAGTAACCTGGCCCTGTGCTCTGTAGGACTTTAAAAGTCATTCAGAAACTTGAATTGCACCTGGATAACAATTGGGAGCCAGGGCAGATTTAAAATACATTGGGTGATCTGTGGGGCACCCAAAACTGTGTGTGCCACTGCATTCTGGATCAGTTGCAGTTTCTGGATGGTCTTCAATGGCAGCCCTATGTAGACAGCGTTGCAGCAATCCAAACAGGAAGTAATTAAAGCATGAGTGATGATGAGCAAGGCTTCCAATCCATGAATGGACCGTTAAGTGTATAAGATGAATTTGTGCAAAGAGCCTCCTGACCATGGCTGCCACCATGGCTTCCAGCAGGAGTCATGCATCCCGGAAGATACCTAGGCTGGGTGACTTTATGAAATAAGTGAGACCATCACCAATCATTGATGTCATTCGTTCACTCAAACCTCTTTAATATCTAGAGAACCCAGCTGAAGCTCTGACAGCATTCAGAGAAGCAAACATTTATAAAATCTGAAGAGAAATATTTTTTCATAGAATTCAAAATACATGTATACTTATCTTCACATTATTTTGAATCCTCTTTAATACAACCAACTGTGTAACTGTGCCGTTTCTCTGTTTGTAGAGCACTGCACCAAACACATACAGGTCTACAAAGGAACTAGATGTAGCTATCTTCGATCCGAGGTTTTTATGCAAACCTCACTGAGGTTATGCTGGTATATGTAGGCTGAAGCAGAAGTAATATTAAACTAATGTATGAAAAGCATGAAATGAAAAGGGAAACAGCTTTTTGGGATCTGCCCTATTTTGATTCATACAATAAAACATTGTAAAGTAAGTGGAGCATCTGATCCAAAGGCTCCCCAGTGTGCTGCACATTCAAACAGGTGCTTTGCTGTGGGTCTTTATGGCTCACATCTAACATCCTCATCACTTTGCATCACACATTTTCATATTGTGCTATGGTTATGGTTTACCATAATAAACCGTCCCATATTGAAGAAAGGTGGGAAATAGAGATACTATAAAAAAGGATAGGAGATCTGAAGAGTTCTTTTTTCTCCTGATAATATGTTAAATACAAAAGATTAAACAAGGTTCTTTTACTTACTGAGAGGAAGGGAAACCTAAGCACATTGTCAATTCCTAATGCCTTAAGCTGCAATATAACCGGTGCCAGGTTACTGCGTTGCATTTCAGGAATGGTGGACTGTGGCAACTTCTCAAAGTCTTCCTCTATGGAGAAAGCAAAGTTCTTCATGATTAAGTTTTAAACATGAATCCTTCCACGTATAAGATTCCGCAATTCAATTAATAATGCATATTAAATTCGTGTGTTCCAACTGAAAATAAAAGACTGCAAATCTTTTTTAAAAGTGGCGCTTTAGAATGTACCAAAACACATACAAAGCAGCTCTTTTTGAATCATTAAAGCAGCTACATATTTTTCCCTACTTGTGCACTATCACCACATAGTAAATGCAGGTAAAATCTTCATCTGCAATATAATTTTACACAGCCAGAGGAATATAGTAAGGAACATTTATGGGGTGGGGAGAGGCACTGGTCTTCAAATCAATATTAATTCCTGGTGTCTGTCTGGAGAAGTCTCTGTAGTTTTCTTGGCAAGGTTTGCCACTGCCTCTGTCCTAGGGCTGAGAGAGTGACAAGTCCAAGGTTACACAACTGACTTTGTGCCTAAGATTCTCCTAGTTCCTTGCCCGATGTCTTAACTACTACACCAAATTGGCTCTCAAGGAAGAGTTATCTGGCTATAAAGAAATGTTTCCCTGAAGCATTCTGTAATACAAATTCTTGTTCAGCATTATGAAGATATGAAGGACTTCAAGAAAAGGAAATTACAGGACAATCTGCTTCCATAACATATTGAATAACATAATAGGGAAGAGAGATTAAAAATGAACCATGAAATTCTATTTTAGAGTGGGAAGGTGAATTATCAAGAAAATTACCTCTATGTATTTTCGTATAGTATTGTGAAATATTTTTTTAATTATCTGCATAAAGAACAGTTTAGAATAAAATAACAGAGTTGGAAGGGACCTTGGAGGTCTTCTAGTCCAACCCCCTGCCTAGGCAGGAAACCCTACACCACTTCAGACAAATGGTTATCCAACATCATCTTAAAAGCGTCCAGTGTTGGAGCATTCACAACTTCTGGAGTCAAGTTGTTCCACTGATTAATTGTTCTGTCAGGAAATTTCTCCTTAGTTCTAGGTTGCTTCTCTCCTTGATTAGTTTCCACCCATTGCTTCTTGTCGTGCCCTTGGGTGCTTTGGAGAATAGCTTGACTCCCTCTTCTTTGTGGCAGCACTTGAGATATTGGAATAGTGCCATCATGTCACCCCTAAGTCCTTCTTTTCATTAGACTAGACATATCCAGTTCCTGCAACTGTTCTTTATATTTTCAGCCTTCTGTCCCCTAATCATCTTTGTTGCTCTTCTCTGCACTCTTTCTAGAATCTTAACAACTCAACAACATTTATTAAGGATTTTTTTAATGCAAAATATATACAAGGAAGTTGAATCTATTATCTCAGGGGTTGCCACAAAGAGGGAGTCAAACTATTCTCCAAGGCACGTGAGGGTAGAACAAGAAACAATGGGTGGAAACTAATCAAGGAGAGAAGCAACTTAGAATTAAGGAGAAATTTCCTGACAGAACAACTAATCAGTGGAACAGAAGTTGTGAATGCTTAAAGACTGGAAGTCTTTAAGAAGATGTTGGATAGCCATTTGTCTGAACGGTATAGGGTTTGCTGCCTAGGCAGGGGGTTGGACTAGAAGACCTCCAAGGTCCCTTCCAACTCTGCTATTGTATTTTATTATAATTCTAAGTTAAACAGCTCAATTATGAAACTATTGACAGTAAATTAAAACACCACTCATAAGACTTTACACTTTACACTCTACCTGTGTAAAGTCTGTAACATTTTCCTGAGCGATTCCGTCCAGCACGACCAGCTCTCTGATTAGCTGAGGCCTTCGAGATTGGAACAACCACAAGACATTCAATAGCTGTTTTGGGATTATATGCACGAAGCTTCACAAAGCCACAGTCAACAACAAATGAAATGCCATTGATTGTGATAGAGGTCTCTGCAATGTTAGTAGCCACTATCACCTGAAAGGTAAAGGTAAAAATCAGTTCTTACTTCATAAACAACTAAGTAAGTTTGAAAATATAACAACTGTGGCTTATTTGAAGGGTTGCTTTAACACACACACACACACACACACACACACACACAAATTTAAACAAAACTAGAAGTGTAAGAAATGCTGGTTATTCCATTTTGACTAATGACTATGTAACAGCAATAGCCATTTTAAAACACTGAAAATTTTTCAATAAAGCAATATTTTGTACATGTTAAATCTGTACAAACTGCAAATTAGGAACAGATTTCTACAGATAAAATTACAGCCCCCAAGTCAGTAGATAAAATTTCCAGAATAAATAGTCTAACAGTTAGATGAAAAGCTACATTGCTGCTTTCCTTCTTAAAAAATAAAATTAAGAACAACTGTTCTTTCATCCGATATTTAAAAGGAAAGTTCATAATTAAGTAGGGGGTGGGGAGAGAAAAAAGGACTGATGCTGAAAAAAGGGTCGCAAGCTTAACATTATACTACTAGAGCCAATTCTGCCTAGTTTGCATTCAGCATTTCTAACAGCCAAATTATGATCTGGAATGTCCCAGCAGATGATATATTTTGAGCATGATATAAAATATAATAATCTCTATATTTTGCAAGTATAATATAAAACATGCATATCCTATCCTAACAAATTAAGTAGGAGAAGATGGGTACTACACACACCCAAACACACACACTCACCAACCTTACCCAGCTTGGCATCCCTTAACATACCAATCATTTCTGTCCAGGATGTTTATGCTGGAAATACTGGGAGTTACAGCCTCAATACAGGCATGAGGCTTGGAAATTACACTATATTGCCAAAGTATTCGCTCATCCATCTACATAATCAGAATCAGTTGCGAGCGAATATAGTGTATATTTAAGAACAATAAGTATATACTTTTACCTTTCTCACATTATGAGGCATCCTTTCAAAAACTTTCATCTGCTCAGCAGCAGGCAATCCAGCGTACATAGGAAGGACACGCAGGTGCTTCTTCATGCCTGTGCGAGCGATGATTCGAGCTTGTTCTATCAACATAGAAACAACTGTTTCTACTTCTTCCTAGAAAAGTAGTTTAGTGATTGACAGATTAAATTATATTTACTGTACCTTCAAGAGCATATCATGGGGCTGAACTATTTTTAAAAGGAGACATCTAATCTAGCTTCTCATAAAAAAAATTTCTCCGTCCGTGATCTTAAAAAGGGCAGTTAATTGTGTTACTAAAATGCTAAACATCAAAGTGATTTTCTTCCAATATGCCACAACATTTTACAGTCCAATAGAGCGAGCAGAATGGGAACTTTCATACTAGAGCCTTTTACAACCATCAATTATGGCTGTTTTTAGAGGCCTTCATACAAAATGGATAACAGAAAACAAAGTATAAATTATTGGGGTTTTTCTTTTCATTTTTAGTTTAAATATAATTTAATATATTATAATATATAATATTATACACACACACACGCATAAAATATATATGCGTCCTTTGAAATTAGGCACACCTTCTTTTTCAGGCTTCTTTCGATTTGTGCAAATTTGGTAGAAGGAACTGTCAAGACAAATGTTTCAATTATTTGACTACTATGTCTTCTTTTTTATTCGCATTTGTGAAAAAAATAGTTCACAGAAGTAGAATATGCCTTATCTCTTATTTTTCTTATTTCTTCTTATTTTTCATCTCATTCCAAATTATGATTTCTGGTCTTTTGCAAAAAAAAAAAAAATCCCCAAATTTTCATATATGATACTTCATATATACTTCAGGACGTTTGAATACTGCTATTCTGTTCCTCAGTGATCAAATAAATGCATATCACTTAACATGTGAAAACAGTCAGGTAGGTCTTATTCCACCTATTAAAAGAATGGGCAACTTCACAAATGGAAGTTTGTGAAGAGTACTACCCTTTTGCAACAACAGAAATGGCCTTTTCAAATACTCTGAAATATGCTGGTATGCAGTGTTTACATACCTAATAGGTTAGGAAAGTCGTATTTTCCCTTGAACTATCTACGTGAGGATTATGTGTTGTCTAAATGCAAAGGAATATATTTCTTCATAAAATAAAAACTGCTAGAAGTGCAGTTCATTCAATTTATTGTTACAATATCATTATGTGTGAAGCAGGCCTACAATTGTCATAAATATGACAATACAAATACAATCCATGTTGTATCACATCCTTCTAATTTTTCAGATAGAAAAATACATGGTAATCCCACATACTTCTTGCACCTCAGATCCGACCTCTGTATAAGCTGTTGATCTATTAAAGCTAGAAGTGAAGAACTTGTCTTAATTTCAAAAATAAGTGGTGTTCAAGTAAAGATTAGAAGTACACATTTATTTTATCTTATTTATTCAATTTCTATAGCCACCCATTTTGGACAAGTAATTCTGGGTAGCAAACAAGCGTAAAATGTTCATGCACAAACCATTATGTGCTACTTTCTGGTATTGAACTGGCACACGTGTTTCTTGTGCCTTGTTCCAGACACAGATTTAAATAGGTTTGCTTTTGTTCCAGGCAGAGATGGTTGACGGAGAGTTTGGGAAAATGCCAAGGACACTGGCAAATGAAAGTACATGGAAAGAGAAAGACTGTAGAGGGCAGACTAGTGTGTGATACAGAGAAGGAAACAGAATAAACAACACACATCAGCCTTGCTCAACTCAATCTGTTTCATCAGTGTCCCTCAATTTCATCAACTTTAAGAAGCCTGGACTTCAACTGGCTGGGGAATTCTAGAAGTTGAAACGCATACCTCCTAAAAGTTACTGAGGTCAAGATACACTTATCTAAACCAGAACAGCTAAAAACTCCTAGGTTTGTTTCTGCTGACTGGACATTTCAAAACAGTTTGGCAAAATCTCCGAAAATGCCTTGGTTTGTTCCAGGTTCAGAACAAAACAGGTTTCCTGCATTATCCAATTCTCTATATGATCTTTTACCCACTGAAAGCAAAAGGGAAGTTCTGGAGAACTGCAATTTTATTTGCTGCACCACAGGCAGGGAAGAAATATTCATAGATTACTCACTCTTGTTTATTATTATTCTAAAATAGGCAAGTACATTCTATTAAAAGAAACTGCCTAAATATTTACATTTGATATTTGCACTGCCTCAAGTGTGTATGTGTCTCTCATGTGCATACACATACATACACTTTCCTTGTCTCATATCCTCCTGTTAGACCTCAACCACAAATCACAACATTCCAGGCCAGGGGTCAGCAACCTGTGGCTCTTTCATCCCTCTACTGCGGCTCCCTGTTGTTGGTTGGCGCCACAATTGATAGGGCTTTCGGTTAGGACAGGTAGAGGAAAAAGGATGCTGCGCTAGGAGGAGATTCTACGGTGGGGGAACCGGACTTCTGGTCGGCTCCAGAATTGGTTAGGACGTTTGTGGCTGTTTGAGTGTTTAAGGTTGCCGACCCCTGTTCCTGGCCAATAGAGTCCAATATTATAATTCAGTAGCCTTCTCTCAGTCACTAGATTCTGGAAGTCTAATATAATCAATATTTTAAGTTAGATGTAAACAGCAATCTTGCATGAAATAAAGTCAACATATTATCTTACATCAAACCAATAATTTCAAGAAGATAAAGTTTATTTTGCATCTACCTGGCCAGTTAAAAATGCCAGTATATCGCCATCACCTTCTGAATTATGAATTTTCATGACCGTTTCCACAGTTGACTTCACATAATCTGGAACAGGACTGTTAGGGGAAAGGGGAGAAACATAGTAAATTTCCCAATAAAGTATAGTACTATTTCTATTTATCACCAGGAATAAAGGAAATATAAACAGATTTGATCCTTTTAACAGGATCAAAAAATTAACTCTTAACTACTCTTTTCAGTTTTCTTCATAAAACATTTGACATTACTAAGCATTCTATAATTCAATTTATATATACATGCTTAAAATGTTATTCCACACAAATAGGAAAAATAGTTGAACAAACAGAAAGTATCCTTCAGGATATCATTAAAAATCTAATTTTTAAATAATGCAAAATCAATATACAATCAAATATAGCATATCTGAATAATCTATATTGAGTTTTAAAATCTGGTTCTAATGGCCTTCAGTAACTATTTGCCCACAAGCAACTTTTAAACTTTCAACAAGGAAGTAGGAATTAAAATTGTTGTTATCATACACAAGGTATCTTACCCAAGCATATCTCTTTATCATAGAATTGGAATGGGCAGGCTCACACAAGGAAATATTTTAAAAATATTTGAAGTAGAATGCGGTGGAAAATCTAGATTCCAGTGCCTAATATGTGTCATTCCACATAGCACTCAAAGTAAAAAAGAACTGACTACATTACAGTATATTCATATATACATATCACTTTACAAAGCTAATGAAATAAGCTCATACAGAAATAATACTTTTCCTTCAAAATGGCTACAGAACATGTTTTATCTATTATAGATTAATATGACTACTCTTCCTGAATGTTTTATAACAATTAACTTGAACACTTCTCACTTCAGTCAGTTGTAAAAGTAGCGATGTTACAAGAACATAAAGGGACAAGCAAAAGATTATCCACCTATGAACATCCACATTTCTTGCTTAGCACAAGTGCAAAAGCAAGCATCTGGATGCATAGGTAAAGAACAAGCCCACTTCTGCCACCGGACCTTTCCATCTCCTTCTGTGGAGGAGGGAGGGCATGAAGTTGCTGCCAAGCTTGCCCATAGCCCTTCTGTGGAGGGGGAAGGGGAGAATTAAGATTCCAGGGGAGGAAAAGCATGAAGATTCCACCGAGCCCCCGTAGCACTTGTCTGAAGTCTGCTCCAGCTGGCCGGTGCAGAAGGGGACGGGGGAAGGTTCCTGAAGCCCTCCTCCACTCAAGTCTGCGCCTGCTGCTCACAAAATAGGAGAGAGATTCAGTCAATTGGAAAACAGGATTTAGGTTTATATCCTAAATGTGTTGGTAACAAAGCCCAAGAATACCTAAAAGATCCATTTAATCTTCCTTTCTCAACCAGACTTCTCTTCTAACCACCACTTAAGCATTAAACAGGAACAGACCTCTGAATGTAGAAGACGTCCACTGGAAACGTCCGTCCTTCCACAGTAAGGATCATGCTGGTATCTTTGCTTGGGTCACTGCTCTCATTTTGGTTAAAGAAATCCCTAAATTTCTAAAGTAAGGACAGTAAAATCATCACCAACACCAGCTAAATGAAGCAAACACTTATCAAATACTGGGAATCCAAGGACAAATATTTAAGTTTAAAATAAAAACATGGATTTCTTTTCTGGAACCAAATCCTTACTTCTAGCAGTGTATTTTCAAAATAATATCAAATAGTTAATAAAGCATATATATATATATAACTAGCATATTTATCTATATATTTCTATATATCTATGTCTGTCTCTCTTGCAATCTTAGTAACATTTTTAATTTTGACCTTGATTTAATAAGACCAATAAATTATCCATTTTTTAAAAAAGAACATATATCCAACATTTTTGGTAAATTTAAAAATAACAATTTCCTCATAAAAATGTAAATTTAACAGTTACCATTATAATTAGGTGGAAGCAAATTTATATGTATATAAATATATGAGATTTAATTTGCATATTTGACACACATTAAATATGCAGCTAAGCTACTTTCTATGTTCTATGTGGACACATAATGTATTATAAAACACAAGGATATAAAATACTAACCATAAGAAATACAACTCAAATTTTTCAAATTAGCAGTGTGGCCTGTATTTCTTTTCTAGATTTACTTAGTCCAATAATTAATGTTCTGAAGACATTTACTGTGATTAATAACAGAATTTTATTTACTACTTACATTACTAATGGATAATTATTTTCCATCAATTATCACTGGCAAACAAAAATTGCAGCCTTTTAATTTTTAATGAGTAAGAAAATTAGACAGAACTGAAAGAACATAAAAGCAGCCATTTATTCAATGTCACTCACACACGAAGAATCTAATCTATATTAAAGGAAACTAAGATGCCATTTTTCAGGTTTTCTAACGGCTTCTGAAAAGGAATGTCTGTATGTAGTTTAGGCAAGCAGAGATAGAATAACCAAAACCTTCAAGCTTTATACAAGATAACCATTGTCAGTTAAATACTTCTGAGATTAATCATGGCTTTCAGGACTCAGCTAGAAGAAATAAAGCCATCCAAACATTTTTTTAAACTGAGAAACACAAATCTTAGTATGATGTTCTTCTCACAAAGCTTATTTTCATTACCTGGGCTGGCATGAGTACATGTCCAAGACAAAGATCACTGGGAAATGGACCTTCTTGAGGCAAGCACTTTTTGTCAACCATATTTACACAACTATGTTGTTGTTTTTTAAAAGAACTAACTATGGAAAGAAGAGTTGTGAGGGCTGGAGGAAGGTCTTCTCCCCTCTTTTTATTGCCAGTGAAGCAGGGAAGGGGGCGGCGAGAAAGAATCCAGACAGTGATTTGGAATGGGAATCACTAGAGATGAATGAATTGCCCCCGAATTAAGATAGCATGTCTATCTTGTCTTCTCAAGATAGCATGAATTAAAGTCCAAATTCAGAACTAATTTCCAAGTGCATCAAAAGATCCATTTATCTTCCTAAGGCTTAAAACAGTCTCTATTACAAAGTCCCCTGTAAAATAATCATTTGAACAAAATCACTGCTTTTAAACAATCCACCATTTACTCTGGTGGGGCTTACACTCACAGCATTATGTTCCCAGAAGACTATGCCTTTATACCCAAATATATGGATGAAATTCTTACATGTTGTATCGTAGAGGATAGATCACAACTAACTAACTATCTATCTATCTATCTATCTATCTATCTATCTATCTATCTATCTATCTATCTATCTATCTTGCCTCGTCTTTCTAACATACTCTTCTGGACAGTCACCTACCTCAGCATCCAGTGTAGCAGATGCTATAATCAAGCGAAGATCTCCTCGTTTTTTCTGAACCTATAGGGAAAAATATTAAAGTCTGTTCAGTTAAATCAAATATCAAAAATTTTTTAAAATTAACATTGATAAGAAGTACTGGCATATTTTATATTTACGTGTAAATACTACATATCATAATAATACAAGGTAATTATAAAATCAGTTTTTGTTCTCATTTTCTCATAGAAGGATCCATTCACCTAAACTTGACATTAGTTTTTAATGGCATAAATTCTCCTCTTCTGAATGATCAGTTAGGTATCTTAATTTAAAAGAAGTATGCAATCTTTACAATAACCGTCATCCTTGATATATCTTGCCAAAAAAATTACTAAGCAACATTGCACAGTGAAACAGGATACACTATATATTTTCTCCATAGCTCTCATATTCTTGATACTGGAAAATCACAACAACATACCAGGAGGGAAGTACACATAGCTTTCCAAATACAGAACTATATTCCACAGCACCTCCATTGGCCATACTGGGAACAGTAGTTCAACAACTTCTATTAGGGCCACAAATTTCCATTCTTGATGTAGGTTGAATATAAGAGCCTTAAAATGGCTGGAATTGACAAGATATAAGCAAGATTGCAGGCCTACAGCAACAAAGTAATTGTAAATATTCATTTTGTTCCCAGCTCAATGGTTGCAAAAAGAGTTATGAAAAAATGTAAGTCAGAATGCTAACCTTTTTTAATAAGCCAATGGCAATATCTGTATATAAAGTTCTTTCATGAGCTTCATCCAACATGATGACACTAAATAAAAGCCAAAATATTTTTTTAAAGATCCCAATCATGAAATGTTCATCAGAATGTTAAACATGCTTGACAGCACCGTTAACAAATATAATTCATGATTTAATAGCCACCGTTATTATGAAAACCATATAACTGATGTTACACACTTGTGACTCCCAAACTTTAAAAACTTCAACAGTTACAACAAAACTTAATAAATTATACTTAAATTCTAAGAAATACAACTTAAAATAATTAATAGAAAGCCAAGTATAGCCTACATATCTAAATCATGACTTTTGTAGAAACTATTCAAGAATTGCAATCTGAAAAACTTTTCTTGGGCTACATCTAGCTATATTATTCCACCAGCAAAAACTGGTCAATTAACCAAATGGATTTTTATTTTCAATCTGAGCTACTAAATAATGTCACCCTTCAAAATATATTTGAGTACACAGGAGGAGAGAAAAATAGAAGTTGTTCTTGCTGTAGGAGTTAATGTTTAATTATATAAGAATTTTTTTAATACAAATGAATAAATATGTGGTATGTATTGTAGCAAAACTCAGAAAGACAGTAGGAATGAAAAAAAACTGCTTATGTAATGATGGCATTCTGACATCTCTTGATTGGTGTCTATGTTGGTGTGTGTACAGATAAATGATAGGTAGACAAACAGTGAGTCAGTCAGTCAGTCACTATCATTATAGTATTTGATTTATTGAAATAATAAACAAAACTCTGCATACAAGATTAGTCCCCAAACATTTACAGTCTACATTCAACAAAAATAAGAAAATAAAACAAAGTAACAAAGAGAGGTAGAAATGAACACAGACAAAGCAAAGTATGACCATTAATAGCTTAACAATAACCAATGTGTTTACCTATATCTGGTTAGTAATGGGTCAGCCATCATTTCCCTGACCAGCATTCCATCTGTCAGAAACTGTAACAAACAAACAAAAACCCATCTATGTTTGTTCTGAAACAAGATTCATGGCCCCAAATTGCAGCAGTTGGTAAGTAATTTCATCTACTTCCAGGGTTTCAGAGATTAGTGTGGCTCTTTTATACAAAGCAGTAGCATGTTTGCAGAAGACAAGGAATGCCTGGAAGAAACTGAAGGTTTGGAGAAGGACAAACAACATAAAGGAAAAAAGTGATAGTTGAGAATGCTAAATGGCACAAAACATTGTCTTGGCTGCAGAGGGAAAGAAGGACAATGGTTGAATTACAATAGTATTTACAGAACATAATCACCCATTTATTTAAATAAATTGGCTGCCCATCTCTAATGAACAAATCTGACATTTCTTTTAAATCATTTAAATGTATTTGGAATATTGGAATATTCACCCTGGACTTTGGAATAACCACCCTGGACTCAACTAACTAAGTATGAAAGTGGCCCCACAGGTAGTCCTTAACTTACAACCAGAATTGGGACCAGAATTTCCACTGTGGATGTGGCAGTAATAAGTCAAATCAGACCTGATTTTATGATCATGTTTATGGCAGATCACCATGGTTGTTAAATGAATCACACAGTTATTAAGCAAATAATACAGTTGTTAAGCGAATTCAGCTTTCACGATGGGCTTTTTTTAAACCAGAAATTAAGGGAAAATTCACATGACTGCTGTCAGACCTGGAATCTTTTGCAGATTTTTTGCATAAGGATTTCAGGTCTGCCACGTTTATTGCTGTGGAAACTGGGAGTTTCCCACAGCATTGTATGCTGTGTAGATTGTATGAAGTGGGGTAGATAGTTAAAATAACATTCCTTTCTCTGCAAGTCAAGGTCATCCTGCCCTGCACCTGGAATGGCGTGATTGGGAGGTATCTCCAATTGGGACAGTGCTCGATTGGACCGTGTGATGGGATCCCCCCCTTCCAGTTTCCCACAGCAATAAATGTGGCAGGCCTGAAGGCCTAATGCAAAAGATGGCTTCGAGGTCTGAGAACTGCAGGGCTCTGCAACCATCCTAAATTCAAGCCAGTTATCAAGGGCCTCAATTGCTATCATGTGACCATGGGGATGGTGAAGTGGTCATAAGTGTGAGTAGAGGTTATAAGGCACTTTTTTTCGAGGCGGCTGTAACTTAGAACCATAGTTTAAAAAATTGTCGTAAATCAAGGACTCAACTGTATTTGACTCTGAAAAACATTAGAACCTATTCAAAACAGCTAACCAGTATTGATCCCCCGTATTATCATCAGAATGTACTATTTCACTTGATCTTGACTGACTGGAAATATTTGTAAATACTTTGAAGATAGAAGCATTTTGCCCAAATATATTACCTTAATTCTTGTAGCCTGTGGGTCAGTACAATCATCAAATCGAATGCAATATCCAACTTCATGGCCCAGCAAGGCACCCCTCTCTTCAGCTACCCGCTCTGCAATCTAGGAGAAAGAATAACCTGAATATTGTAAACAATAAACACATTTGATTTGTGAATATGTATTGCTTGCTTATCTTGCACAACTAGGGAAAAATAATTTAAAAAATCACTGAAGTAAAATTTGGTTAATTTGAGCTAATTCTCTTGGATCATTATGTAGTAGTTAGTTAAGTATAACCAATCTTTATATGGTAAGGCCCAGTTTCATTAATAAATACTGGCAATGCTATTCTGCTTCTATGAAGACGAAGAAAAATAAAGTAAAATGTTCTGTACTTAAAGACTGCACCAGCACAAGGACTTCAGCACACGAAAGCTGGATGTTCTCCAAAACTTTCTTTCACCAGAAAACTGCCAGACTCTCAGAGATTTCCCCTTCATCATCAGAAATGTATTATTTGATGGCTGCCCTCCAGCTGTAAAACGCCTTCACTACTAAAGAGGTATACCTCGTGCCAAAAAGATCGTGTAATAGAAGCACCAGACATATTTTTGGATCCAAATTAAGACTATAAAAAGGAAACTTCAATTTAAGAAATGACATGGTCTGTTCCATGTTTCTTTATGAAAAGGCACCAGATAGGGGAATTATTTGCTGGCATTCATTAGCTTTTTAAAGAGATGATATTATGGGAAAGAAATAAAACATCTGCAATGATTTGACACTCAATGAATTAAAATATTTGACCCATTATTTTAAAGTTTTCTTATGGCTGTTTCTCCTGTCACAGTTTTGTGTCTTCAAGACTATTTTACAATATTCCATCAGTGAACAGATAAGCAGTCCATTCTAATAATAAATTTTAATTAGTTATAAAGCTAAATAAACAAAAGCATAATCTGTATTAACTAACATTTGCTGCACCAAAGATAGAAATGTCCAAGTGCATTTCACACTTGTTCTTCAAAATGGGCCATGTGATAAATCTCAACAACCTTGAAATGAACCATGGCTAAATCCATGCAGAGACAGGAAGCTAAAATGACACATTTTAATATTTATGCAATGCTACATTTTAATAAACATAGAAAATCTTTCAAATACAATGCCTATAATTCAAGACAAATATAACAAACTTTTTACAAACTTCCAAAATTGTTAAGTATTTTGTGTAGTACATCCCATGCCCTTCAAATAAATGTGGCTATGAGATCAAAGCAACTACTTACAGCTATTTACTAATTTTCCTAGTTTTACAGTTTTAAACGAGTCCTTATCACTCTGGGAAGTCAATATAGTAAATGGATGAAATCCTAGGAACATCAAATTTGCATGTGTTTGATATTCTCACAGAGTGGTGACTATTTTTAAATTTTATGTATTATTTATTTTTAGAAATTAGCATACTTTTTTGGGAGTATAAGACACTTCCTCCCCTCCCCCCAAAAGTGGGTGGAAATGTCTGTGCGTCTTATAATACACTGAATATTGGAGGTGGGGAGGAAGCTGATCAGCTATTTTAGAATGGGCAGAGGCAGCAGCGAACAGGTCAGGGTGATGGTGGCTAACGGGCAGCAGCAGCAAACGGGCAAGGACAGCAAATGGACTGTGGCGAACGGGATGTGGCAGTGAACAGGCAGCAGCGGAGGCAGCAAATGGGCCACAGCAGTGAACAGGTCACAGCGAACGGGCCGCAGTGAACAAGTTTTTTTTTTCTTGTTTTCCTCCTCAAAAGCACCTTAAAAGGTGACTCTTAGTCCGGAGCATCTTACAGTCCAAAAAACATGGTAATACATAAACTAACTTGAAAATCATGCAGCAGAACCTAGGGTAGTGATGGCGAACCTTTTTCACTTCAGGAGCCAAAAGCATATGTGCACACCTCCACCATAATTTAATGCTCCCCCTACGCCGTGCCCCATGAGCATGTGACACACACACCTTACTGCCCTGTGCACACACTTCTTTCTTGGAGCCTGGGGAGGGTGAAAACAGCCTTCCCCACCCCCACTCTGGAGGCCAGAAAGGCCCTGTTTTTCAATTCCGGGGGCACGGTAAGTCCATTTTTTGCCCTCCCCAGGCTCCAGAGGCTTTCTAGGAGCCTGGGAAGGGTGAAAAACAGCCCAACACGCAAACCAGAAGTTTGGGAACAGACTTCCGGGTTACCCATTGGGCCATTTTTCTCCCTCCAGACGCTTCAGGAGGCTTTCCTGAAGCCTCTGGAGGGCAAAAAACAGCCCAATGCGCAAACTAGAAGTTCGGAAGCCTCTGGAGGGAAAAAAATGGACAAAAATCAAGGCTGAAAATCAGCTGGATGCACATGCATGCACGCTGGAACTGAGAGGGCAACACTTCGCATGCCCTCAGAAATAGCTCTACGTGCCACCTGTGGGACGCATGCCATAGGTTCGCCATCATCGATCTAGGGAATGAAATTACAGCTCCAGGCATAGTCTGAGCATTCTCCTATTGGGATAGTACACTGAATCCAACCCTTTTCTAAAGATGAAAATAAAGGAGTAGTATAGAACACCTTTCCTATAAGTAGCATTTGTTGTTGTAATCATCCTCTTCCAATATAAGCGACAGGAGAAAATAGAACTAATAGCTGCTTTAAACTTCCTCCCTGGTCAGAAACCAGGAGGACTTAGGATATTTCACATCCATAAAACCAATGGCTCAGGTTTAATCACATATATATCCTCAACATCAAACTTTATTAATATGGAAAGAAGAAAGGGAGTTCCACTGTCAGTCTCCCCCTAAATTTAGAATCAGAATGGATTAATCTTATTAGAAAGAAAGAATCCTCTTGGAGACATAGCTTTTGGCTGTCGCCAAAGAAATATAAAACTAAGGAAAATCAATTTATCTTGTGTACTTTTTAATTCCATTAAACGACAATCCTTTATTGAAACCAAGATGGCTTTCAAATCAATTTGATAGATTTAATAAAATATCAAATATCTTATTAAACATGTATAAGCACTTTAGGATTCCCAAAATAGCTCTTTGGATCTAACTTACCCACTACAAGATTCGTTTGCACCTTGTGTCAAAAAGTTTCAACCCATGAAAAGAATTATAATGAAATATACTGATTAGTCTAAATGCAGTCAAAGACTTTCCAGATTTTTACCTGTCTGCTGTATAGGTAGAGTTATACAAAACAGATAGCTTTGAATAGCCCATGCCTGATCCCAAAGTGTACTTATCAGGTGTTTGAGTCTGTATATGGCATGAAGCAGAACAGTTTTGTTTCACGTATAAACAAAGAGGTGATTATTCTGGGCAGAAATGGTTTGGGGGAGTACAGGAACAGTAGGAAAAAGCAAATGAAACTGGGCTTTGTTTATGATGGCATAAATGAACATCAGCAGCAGTCACTGAGAGGAGACAGGGGAAGAAGGAAAAGGAAGAAGGTGCTGAGAAACGGGGAACAGATCAGCATGAAGGATAAGCAGAAGAGATTGTAAGAGAGAACAATGGGCACCAGGTTGGCTCTACCTGTCCCATAACATTTCTTCAGAATTTTTTATCCTGTAGCGTTTCGGTCTTGGCCAAAGCACATAATGAAGTCTACTTTCCTCCACATATGAAGGGGTGATGTTTTTTTCCAGAACAAGGAAATTGTTACCAAAACCTATATTCAATTGTGAAAAGCATCAGAGTGTGCTGTGAATATGCACAAGTTCTAACTGCAAATTACTGTCCTCACATCAAATAAAAAATAAAAGAAAATATACATTCTAAGATACTATTGCAAAACTTTTCAATAGAAACCTGTGGAAAGTATTTATCTGTACCTTTATTGGTACAGATTGCAATATACATTACCTCGCATAAGGTAAAGGTTAAAGTTTCCCTCACACATATATGCTAGTTGTTTCCGGCTCTAGAGGTGGTGCTCATCTCCATTGTTAAGCCGAAGAGCCAGTGCTGTCCAAAGAAGTCTCTGTGGTCATGTGGTCATGACTCATCACCGAAGGCGCACAGAGTGCTATTACCTTCCCATCAAGGTGGTCCCTATTTTTCTACTTGCATTTTTACATGCTTTCAAACTGCCAGGTTGGCAGAAGCTGAGACAAGTAATAGGAGCTCACTCCGTTACACGGCACTAGGGATTCAAACCCCAAAATGCCAACCCTTCTGATCGACAAATTTAGCTTGTCTTAGCTGCTGAGTCACCATGTCCCCTTTTAGTGTCTCATAGATATTAACGAATGTCAATAATGCTTAATGTATTTTGTAAATACTTTTTGACAGACTTTACACACTTGATTGAAATATCTAACATTCTGTAAAAATAATATAGAGAAATCTCAGAATTTGGAATGCAGGCGACTCACTGAAACACAAGCAACTCTCCGAGGTTGTGTTACTCCCACTATCCGGCCTTCAGCAGTCCAACCAGCTTCTGTTAGATACTGTCATGGAAAAAAATATTTATTAGAACTGATGTATAAATTTATATTAATCTTGGGTTTTAATTATTTTTCATTCCTCCTCATTTTCCCTCCATTTCTATTTCCCTGCAAGTAGACTTTCTCACTGGAAAAAGAAATTGTGGATCTAATTAAATGTAGAGGTAGTTCTTCAGTTGTGACTGGGATTGGGATTGCCATAGTTAAGCCAGTGTTTTTCAACCACTGTGCCGCGGCACACTAGTGTGCCGTGACATAGTGTAAGGTGTGCCGTGGGAGAATTACTTTATATATAGTCAATATAGGCACAGAGTTAAATTTTTTTAACATTTTCTAATGGTGGTGTGCCTCGTGATTTTTTTCATGAAAAAAGTGTGCCTTTGCACAAAAAAGGTTGAAAAACACTGAGTTAAGCAATGCAGTCATAAAGTGTAATGTCATGTGATCACATTACTTAGTGATGACCCTCCAGCCAGTTCTGGCTGCCACTGTAACTTCAAGATTCATAGGTCATTAAGCATGAAGGTACTGGCAGTCCAGGTAAGGAGAGCACAAGTGCCATCGGAAAGTCTGGTAGGTCCTGGAAAGTCCAACTCAAGCTGTGCACAAGTGCAGGAACGCCAAGGAAAGGAGAATGCAGTGCTCCCTTATGCTTCAAACATAAGGGATAGGACAGGGGTGTCAAACTCAAGGCCCGTGGGCTGGATCCAGCCCATGGGATGCTTAGATCTGGCCTGTGGGGCTATCCTGAAAACAGCAAAGGATCAGCCCGCGGTGTCTCTTCCAGCAAAAACCGAGCTTGACAAAAGGCAGACAAAAGGACAGGGCTCCTCCTGAGCTCCGTTTTCATTGGCAGAGCACTTGGGCTGCCACAGGCACCCCCGGGCTCTATTTTCACTGGCAGAGGGCGGCAGGATGCCATTGCAGCTGAAAAAAGAGTCTGGGAAGGCCAGGTGTAGCCCTCAAGAACTTTATTTTCACTGCCAAAGGCTAACCCGTCTAGCACAAAGTCGCATGGCTGGCAGAAGCAGCAGGGCCAGCAAGGGTCAGCCAGCGGGCATAGGCCAGCAGCGCTAGACGAACATAGGGCAGACTAAAGGACAGAATCAGTGATATATCCATCCATGGAAAATGACTGACAATCAAATCAAGTATTCCATTAATAAACAAATAAATGCAGATTATTAATACTCACTTGGGGAATCTGAGTGCTTTTCCCACATCCTGTTTCTCCAACAATCACTAATGTCTGATAGTTTTCTACTAGATAGAGGATATGATTTCTAAGCTGGAAGACAAATAGATATTCAGACATGGATTAAAGTACCTCATTAAGGAAAGTTCAATAAAGGGGTAAGGATACAATCCATTCTATGATGACACTATGGGAATATTTAGCTAGAATGCTATATCTCATATATTCTGAAACAAACCATAAAACAGATTTATTTCTACTATATATAATTTACTTTAAAATATTACACTAACAATAAAATATATAAAATAATATCACACAATGACACAAGGAGGCACATAATTTTTACCAAGCGAGCTATAATCTAGCACAGAATTCTTATACCCATGCAATTCAACTCATGTTTACAGCAACAGTGAATTGCTCTCACAATGTTCTCATACATTGAGATAAAGAAAATTATTTTGTCACAGCATAATGTGATCTACATACAAGTTAAAAATACATTTATTTTCTATTTTGCAAAAATCAATTTAAGATATGAAAAGGTAGAGCATACCTAAATGGCAATGCTTGCAATTCTGCAGTTCAAAGTAATAAAAGGAATTCATACCTTAAAAACAGGCAGCTTTTGCCTCTGTTGCTCAATAGAAAGGGAAATAAAGGGATTATAGATGACCGAAACACTTGAACTTTCAGCAGCATTCTGTCTTTCCTCTGAGAGGCTGACACCTGGTCCTTCTGTGCCTACATACCCAAGCAAACAAATTATTATTAATTTGATGTTATTTTTTACAAAAATACAAAGGTAAAGAAATGTTTTTGTTCACAATTTTACTTGTAATTTCACATACTATATTTAAGAGAGAATTTGTCCTCAAAAATGCAGAGCATTTTAGTTTAGTATTTTAAGGTATTTTTTTAAAAAAAATACCAACTTGCTGGCATACCAGTCATGTCCCTATCAGATGAGGACAGACTGCTCCTCAGGTATGATCTTTCAATGCTCTCCAGGGTGAATTTTCTAATGCACTGTGCGTAGGGCAGTTTTTAAAATAATGGTTCAGAAATTAAAACAAGAGCTACCATTACTGGTAGAAGACTGAAATATATGCATTTCTATGATACTATTGTAGATACCTTGATTATGAGGAATTAAAATGATGGATTTTAAAAACCTAAACAGTTTAAGCTGCTGGTTGTGTTTTTGGACGTCCTCTGCTATGAGTGGGATTGGATATAGTGTCTCCATACTTGCCCTGCATGACCTCTTGCTGACTTTCGATATTGTTGACCATTTGAATCAGCTCAGAGAGCTGGAGTTGGTTCCACCACAAATCCGCGGTAGACTAAAGCGCGCTCGCCGAAAGCGCGTACGTGATGTCATCACAGCGCGACGAAAACAGCACGCTGTGAGCGGTAAATTTAAAATTAACGCGAAAACCTTACCCTAACCCCCCCAAACCTAACCCTAAACCTAAGCCTAACCCTTAACCTAACCCTAAACCTAACCCTAAACCTAACCCTTAACCTAACGCTAAACCTAACGCTAACCCTTAACCTAACCCTAAACCTAACCCTAATGCTTAACCTAACCCTAACCCTAACCCTAAACCTAACCCTTACCTTTATGTGAATCGGCTTGCTTTAATTTAATTTTAATTTTAATTTAATTTATTTTTAATTTTATTTGTCACGCTGCTGATGACGTCACGTACGTGCTTTGATCGGGCGTGCTTTAGTGGACCGCGGTTTTGACGGGTCACGGCTGGAGTTTACATGACATGTTTTTGCACTAGTTCACCTCCTTCATTCAAGGTCATTTCAAGTTGATCGTGATTGGGAAGGAGAGATCTCACCACTGCCCCCTACAATGTGAGATGTCACAGGGCTTGGTGCTTTCTCTTCTCCTTTCCAGAATCTACATGAGGTCACTGGCTGAGCTCATCCATTGCATGAAGTGAGGTATCATCACTGACAATACTCAATTATATATTTCTCTCCCTGATAAATATCTCATCCCAGTTCCTGAAGGTTGGGAGAGTTTGGATGGGGAACAACAAGGTTCAGCTGAACCCTGGCAAGACTGAACGGTTTTCATTCTGGGGACCCACTGATTCCACGAGTCTTTCATGTTGGATGAGGTTGCACTACCGGAAACTTCAGATGGTACAGAAAGCACTGGCACTGGCAGTTACTTATGCTTCTAGGGCAGCACATGTTACACTTCTGTTTCACAGGTGGTTTTGGTTGCTAGTTTGTTTCTGGGTCCAATTTAAGGTACTGGTGCTGGTTTTAACCTTTAAAGCTATTCATGGCATGGGACTGGGTTATCTGACAAGCTGTCTCTGCCCAGTTATATTAATCGCCCTATCACAGACAAGACATGCTACGGGTACCATCAGCTAGAGATCAATGTGTGATGGGTCCCAGGAGATGGACCTTCCTCTGCTGTAGCATCCACCTTAAGGAACATTCTTTCCCCTAAAATCAAAATGGCCCTTTTGGACTTTTGATTAAGCTCCTTCAATACCTGGTTATGTTTCCAGATCTGGGGCTACCAGGAAACTGAAGATCTATTCTGATGGCCCCATTGCTGAGGGAACCATTTTTATCCTCCCTTACCCAGTGTTAGTTTTATTTTTATGCTTTTTATTACTGCAACTTTTTATATTTTAGTTTTATTTAATTATTTATTGCAATGCTCCTGCTTTGGAAGATATGGGCAGCTATATAAATTTGATTGATTGATTGAGACATCAATCCACAAAACATGATTATGTATATAAACAGTCAATTAACAACCACAATTGGGACAAGACTCTTGTGGTTGAGCAAATCAGCCATTAAGCAAGATGCTCACATGACTGTTTCACTCAACAACCTCACTCAATGGCACTCTTGGTTGCTGTCATTAACAATTTCCCAGGTTGTTAAGTGGACAAAATGAAAAAGATGCCTGCTAAAGGATTTCAGCTTTGCATGAATTTGAAATCCTCCTGGCAGACAGTCCTTTCATTCTCAATTGTTCATGCAACCCACCCAAAAAATTTAGCTCCCCTGTTTGCATAGAGGGGAAATTTTTTGGTGGATTGTAGGAACAGAACTGAAATCTTCAGAATTAAGTTCAGCATTGACTTTCTGGGGAAGCCAGCAGAGAAGATTACAAATGGAAATCATATGATCACGGGGCACATGGCAATGAGTCATGACTATGGGTGTGAGTTTGCATGCAGTGTGGAATGCTTTACATTTTACAACAGTGAGAAAGACTACCTGTAGCTGCAATTAAGAGGCACAGGTTATTTAATGTATGACTATTTTCTACAGAGGTAACGTAGTAGCAACCCCCCCTCCCCCCCCCCAAAAAAATAGAATTGTATTTTCCAAGAAAACATATAAATCTACTTTCTGGTCTGCTGAATTAGCCATGTCATTTTCAAGGCTTGTGCAGCTGCTTTGGAAGGTCATCCTGATTGTCTCTGCATGCTTTGAGAAAAGTGATTGTGCACATATATTGCAATGTACTGTTTTCTGCATGTAAGGTATCTCTTTTCAAAACTGCATAATCTTACTGGATACTGCTATTTTATACTATTGTAACTGTATTCCTTAATTGCAGTTTTTTAGATAAGGAAAGGTTTCCTTGCACATATGTGCTAGTCGTTCCTGACTCTAGGGGGTGATGCTCATCTCCGTTTCAAAACCAAAGAGCCAGTGCTGTCCAAAGATGTCTCTGTGGTCATGTGGCTGGCATTACTAAACGCCGAAGGCGCATGGAGCACTGTTACCTTCCCACCAAAGGTGGTTCCTATTTTTCTACTTGCTTTTGAACTGCTAGGTTGACAGAAACTGGACAAGTAGCAGGAACTCACTCGGTTACGCAGCGCTAGGGATTCAAACTGCCTACCTTTCTGATCGACAAGCTCAGCATCTTAGCCACTAAGCTACCTTGTCCCCTTTGTGTTTTAGATACACCTACATAAAGAAATTTGCTGATTTTAATTGTGATTTCTGAATATGAATCTTTTTACTGTACATTAATTGTATTGAATATAGATCTATTAGCAGTAATTACATGAGAATTTATTTAAAATAAATTTCTACTGAAGGAAGGCGGCGCTGACATCGTGACAATACGACGTGCGATCTTGGAGCTCCAGGATCACCGTCGATATCTCTGCTGCTGGATGGTCCATTTGGACCTAAACTGTCCCGTAGAGAGAAGGGCACATCCTGCTGATCCCAGGGACATCACAAAGTCCCCGGTAGATCCAGGAGAAGCCCTTTTTTCCGGCCACAGAGAAGCAGTCATTGAAGCTGCTGAAAGTTGGGACAGCTCAAGAACGGAAGCAAAGCAGGAGAGAAAGTATGTCGAATTGGTGAGATAAATTTTATTATTAGAGAAGACCCCAAAAGATCAAAAGTAAAGTTAAAATTGAAGACAGAAGAGGTTAAGCGGCAAGATTAAGCCTGAGTCAAATTTAGTGTGTTTTTTTTTCTTTTTAACCTTTTTTTGATGCCATTTTTACAAACGCTTCTTACTTTTTAAACCAGACTGATTTTTTTCTCCTTCTTCTATTTTTCCTTTTTTTAATACCTATCGATTAAGTCTTTATTTTTCTTTTTTCAATGCTCTATCGCATTTTCTTTTTAATAACTTTTCTTTTTCTCCTTAAGCCTGGAATATAAAGAGGGGAATAAAAGTAGAAGAAAAGAAGTAACACTGCCACTTAGAGGCTTGGAAACATTGTTTTTCTTTTCTTTCTTTGAACATTTGATCTACACTTCAAGTTCTTTGAGTTTGTTTATTGAAAATGATAGCAGCAGGAGCACAGATTGCTTATACAATGCTCCTCTGGGGTACTATCAGTAGCTGGACTGGAATGAAAAGAAAGCCTTGACTTGAAAGACGAAAGATTGCAGTGAATTTGTTTGGAACTTAATAAAAAAGTGTTATTATATATAGTGGCAGTGTTTACTATCTGGAGGAATGTTGCAGCACGGAAAAGAAAAGGAAGTGACATTACAGATGATTATGCAAGAAATTAAAAAAATACAAGTAAGAACAGAAAGCATTGAAAAGAGAATGGAAAATATTGAAAAAAGAACAGAAAAAATAGATGAAAAAATTGAGAATACTTATCAAATGATGATAAAATATGAGGACAGATTTCAAAAAATTGAAGAAAAAGATAATAAAATTGGTGATATTGACAGCAGATTGAGCATGGATGGAAAAGAAAAGAGTGGAATATTGGAATGGGAGATTGACAGATTAGAATTTTACCTCAGATTCCAGAATATAGGAGAAAAGGGAGAAAATTTGGCAGAAGAATGATAGAAATTTTGGCAGAAGCATCGGTAATAACCAAAAGGAAGTTGATGGAAGGAACAGACGAGGGATCTCGAGTCTTTACAAGATATGCAATGGAAAATATGTCCATATAAGATCTACCAAGAAAGCAATTAGAACACAAATACTACAAATGGCAAGAGATATAAGATTTCACAACTATTGGAAGGATACAGGATGATGTAATGAAATGCTATAATAAAAACTAATTTAAATTTAGTTAAACTTCGAATATTATACATAAATTGAAGTAATTATAATTGTAGTCAAATAAATGATTAACAATGATAATAATGCATATATATGTGTGTGTGTGTGTGTATATGTGTATATACACACACACACACACACACACACACACACACACACGATTGATAATATGAAATTTTATATAAATTGTAAGTCAGGACTATGGGGAGGATGCACAAAAGTTTTGTAATCAATGATAAACAATTGCATGTAGTATACAATATAAAGAGGTAATATTACTGGATGGTTTTAGAATGATGCAATGAAATGCCATAATATAATTTTATTCTAAATTTAGAATATTTCACATAAACGGAAGTAATAATAGTTATAGTCAAATAAATGTTTAATACTGATAATAACTTTATACATATATATTAGATTGATGATATGAGATCCTATATAAATTGTAAGTCAAGACTACTATGAGGAATATTGGACAAAATCCACAACTAGTTGGGAAAAAATGAGAAAATACCAATGCAGGAGGAAGTTATTCATAAACTAATTGAATATGCTGAAATGAGTAAATTGACATTTGAAATTAGAGAACAAGAAGATAAACAATTTTATAAGATATGGGATTTATTTTATCAATGGTTAGATGAAAAAAATATAGAAATGAATGATACTAGAGAATGTTATCAATACAAGAATGATAGAATGATACTGAATATAGCAAAGATTTATTATTGGATAGATTGAAGATGATGTAATGAATTGTTATAATATAAATGAACCAAACATTTAGTATATCTCATTTAAAATGAAGGAATAATAGTGATAGTCAAACAAATGAGGTATAATGATAATAATGTATACAAACATGTTCAATTCGATATTATGTGATTTATATAAATTGCAAGTGATGACTATGGAAAGAATGCACAAAAACCTTGTAACCAATCGACACACTGTATGTAATGGAAAATGGTTTTATGTTTTATTTTATGTCTTGTTTGTCTATGTTTGTCTAAAAATAAAAAAAACTTTTAATATATAACAATAAATAAATTTCTACTATAAGTCTTATTTCTATATGAAATGAACATAGGTTATGCAACCTGTCTCACTGAATTCAGAAGTGTTTGAATTCAAACACTTGTAACAACAATTGACCTACGTACACCCATAGCAACTGACAATTGTATGTGCTAAATCATACAACAGATACAAATAGGTTAAAAAATATGAGTACAGGTTGCCTTTGACTTACAATCACAACTGAGGCCAAAATGTATCTTGCTAAGCAAGACAATTAAGTGAGTTTTGCCCCGTTTTACAATGTTTTGTAATGGAAATCCATTATTTTGTAAAGACAGTTTTACAACCTGTCTCGACACAGTTAAATGAATCAAGTGCAATTGTTAAGTCAGTAACATGGTTGTTAAGTGAATCTGGCTTCCCCATTGACTTTGCTTGTCAGAAAATCAAATAAGGTGATCATATGAGCCTGGGACAACCATCATAAACGTGAACCAGTTGCCAAAAGTTGGGATTTTGATCACAAGATCATGGGGATGATGCAAAATGTCTGTTTTTCCAGTGCCATTATGACTTTTAATGGTCACTAAATGAACGGTTGTAAGTCAAGGATCAAATGTATATGTAAACTGCAGTGGGCTCTTCGGTTTACAAGAGGGAAAAAAATCATTCCAACTTGATTACATAATTAATTGCTATTCTTATGATCCATCAAATCAACCCTGACTCCTGCTGATTCAGGAACAAGTCCATGTACTTTCCTTAGCAATATTTTTGGAAGTGGTTTGCCTTTGCCTTTTTCCTACAGCTGAGAAAGAGTAACTAATCCAAACTCATCTAGCTGGTTTTGATGCTTAAGGCAGACCTAGAATTCCTGGTCTCTGAGTTACTGGCCTGGTGGCTGTACCTCAAATTGGCTCACGTGCCATAAATAGCATATTACAATTTTAAGATACTATCAGCAATATCATCAGCATGCATATGCACATCTTCACATGTTGCAATTCAAAAAGCTGCTATAAATTCAGGTTTGCCAAAATGTATCATTAGCTACAATTTATAGCATATAAATGCTTTCTTAATTATATAATGTCAATGCATTGCTATCAATTCAGTCTAATAGCTTGCCCAGAAACCATATTATTGCAGTCTGAACACATCTCAAAGTAACAAGATTTGGAAAAGTTTCTTTAACATGTCATGGCTGTTTTCAAAACTATGCAGCATAGAAAAGAACTTCAATTATACCTTGCACTATTCCAAAAAAATAGTTGGTTTTGCTCTATATGTTATTTAAACCCTACACTACAGGGTTTACATTAACTGTGGCTCCGTATGTTTTAAAGATGCAGGTATATGAGTTTATTCAACGAGCACATAATTAAATAAGGGATGTTTTACCTTGGAAGAATTTCTAAATTATCTTTGTGTGTTTGACCTGGCTCTAAATAATTTTACCAATAAACTATTGTGGACATTAGGGTATTAGGTTTATGATATTTACTAAGTAACTGAAAGAACTGGAATGAATCTAACTTTAAAAACATTGAGAAGATACTGTGTAGTCATGTGTTTTCTCTTCAACAATCCTCACTTTATTTTATTTGTACTTCAAAAATTCTAATTTTTTTGTATATGATTTACTATTTACATATAAAGAACAAAGTGCATATAAGTATCATGATAATACTAAATAGCAGCGCCCATCAAAACTGATCATTAATTGTATATAACAGTCATTTGATAAGTCGTTATTTTAAATATATATCTTAAATTAAATAGAACTTTCTTGCAAGTAAATATTCATAGAATTATTCAAAAATATTTAGCTTCAAAAATCATATTACAAATTGGCAGCCATCAGGGGTTTTTTTCCTCTACACTTCAATAACTTAAAACGAAGCAGGAATAAAATGGGCTAATGGAAATGTGAGGAAAAATTAGGTTGTATGTGGAACATTGTATGCTTATACAGAATTATCAAATTGTTGGTAGTTTTTGCCCCAGAAGAAAATGTATCAAACTTTGGAATCTATTCAAAATAATTGTAAAAAAAGGCTACAAATACTACTGTTAAAATCTGGATATACAGTAGAAGAACAACTGTGTTTGTTTTTTCTAGAAATCAAAAGAGATCAGTTCAAGGGCAAATTGTTTTTTTCACTGAAATATAAAATATTAATAATCTCAGAAAGAAGTGGCTATTATATTAATAAATCAGTGAAAAGTACTCAAAGAATAAATCTTCCTTAAAACCCAAAGGCATTAAGAAATGTGTTCCATTGAACACAATGGCACTAATAGTTCAACAAGGGTATGTATATCTATCTATCTATCTATCTATCTATCTATCTATCTATCTATCTATCTATCTATCTAATATTAAAAACTATGTCAGTTTTTGTGACATTAAAGTGCAGGCAAAGTTCTCTTAAATTCCGTATACTCTTTTGAAACTGCAAACAAATACCAGAAACGATCTGTATACATACACAAATAATTATATAAGGGAAACTACAGCTGCAAACACTGTGCCTCAGCTGTTAAGGTTAGCTCTATGCCTAAAAGTGAGCAGTAATTTAAATATTAATAGCTCTATAAAACTAAGTTTCAGCATTGGAAAACTGTCTTCTAATTATCCTTCACGCCAGAAAAATCAGAAAATGCAAATAGATAAAACCTACCATGTAAACTGCTTAGTACTGCAGAAGATCCTGTTATCACAGCACTTGACTGCCATTGCATTTACATATAATGAGCTAGCAAGAACAGCATCTAATTCCACCACTGAGGATTTACCTTACTACTTTTTATTGGAGTGGAAGTTTTTCCTCATTTCCCTAAAGCCCTTTTAAAATTTAAAATCATATCCTTTCAGTTCAGATGGCAGTTATCTTAAAATCATTTCAAGTTATTACTGCTTTGTACACAACAAGAGCAGATTTATTTTGCAATTGTACTAGTTAGCATTCATTGCCTATTAAAATAGCTTTCCTTTTTTTAAAAAATCATGGAAGAGACTAGTGTGCCTCCCTCAATATATTTTAAATGTAAATATTTGTGTGGTTTGCCTCTAAGGCGGCTGTATTTATGGGTGTGTTAATTTTGAATATTCTACAACTAGAATTAGACTGGTGATAAACCTCAGGACCGAAAAAGAGTCTTCACTTAGCTAATTTATGTATTATCAAGCAGCTTAATCTCAACCCGGCGCATTTATTTAACGCCACCTGACGAGGTAAATAGATCGACTCCATAGCACTATATGGCATTGGGGGGGGGGGGGAGAGATGAAGCAGGACGACCGCCAATAAAGAGCACAATTTTCTCAGTTCAGAATTCACAAGCCTCTTAAGTCAATTGAACCGCATGTTCAAAGGTTAAATATTATGATTTGAGCAGATGCAGAATAACTTTTCTTCTAGCCTTGTTAATTTGTGACCGGTTAATCTTCTAGCCTTGTTAATTTGTGACCGGTCACCTATATATATATATAAATATATATCGTCCATCCTCCAAAATAGAGCATCGTTGCATTCCCTATCTCCTATCCCGCCGGCGTCCATTCGCAGACTGAAATCCGTTTCCACCAAAATTAGACAAAAGCAACCTTCACCCTTCCACTCCTTATTCCCTCCCTTGGTATTCATATTCCCGTCCCTTCCAAGAAATTCAAGGCTTACCCGGTTTCCAAAACTTCAACGGACCCACGGGCGCCGCCATCTTGGGGTGAAAGGTCAAAAAGAAAAGAACGAAGCCTCTCGCCATTGCGAGGAGCATGTGATTGTGAGGCGTTTGGGGATTGGCTGGCGGTTGCCATGGCTTCTTTCCCCTCGCATAGGCGAAGCGGCTGCCTCTCCTCCAATCTACCGCCCAAGGGCAGAGTTTCAGCGTGGGGGGGGGGGGGGCGCAGGTGTCTTTCGAGAGCTGCGTTGATTCCAGGATCTCTGTCGTTTGGCGTGCCCGAGAGGCCAGCCTTTGGGTTATTTTAGATGAGGGTAAAAGCTTCGGCAGAAACGCAGATGCAGTTTGCCTTGACTTGGTTGGACAAGAGCGTTTTTCAAACCTGGCAACTTTAAGATGTGTGGATTTCAACTCCCAGAATTCCACATGCTTTTAATTCGGAATTAAATCTGAAATTCATTTCTCTCACCAACATCGCAGGTCCAATATAACCGTACCTTTTCAAAAAATAGCTGGATTCAAAAGTTTTGAACGTCATAATGTGACATTAGCATTCTTAACATTAAAAAAATGTTCCCATAGATCTTCTTAGATATATTAAAATATTACGGTCCCATTGGGTAAAAGAATAGACACAGCTGGTAACAGCACTCCCCCAATTTTTTTTTTTTTGAGATTTCATTTATATTCTATATCTAGAAGATCATGCTTGCTGGGAATTTTAGGAATTTCAGTCCCACTCATCTAAAATCTCATTGAGGACATATATACTCTTAACAACTACGCATATATGCCTCTCTTTCTTTGATGATAAGTAATCCTTCATCCATTCTGTTGGTAATATTAGAGCTGGACGTATTAGGGGGATTTATTTGTTTGTTTATTGATTGGATTTCTGTCCCACATTCCATTCAGATATTCAAAACACCATATGTAGCAATTTCTATTTTTCTCACAACCCTGTGAGATAGGCTGGACTGAGACAGTATCTCAAACTCACCCAGTAAATTTCTGTGATTAAAAATATTCTTATGTGATCGATAATATTTTGAGCCGCACAGTAATTTACAACCTCTCAATAATTGAAATTAGAGGAAACAATATCCATTAGGAAAAT